GGTGGGGAATCACCCTCAATTTACAGATAAGTTCCTGGAGGCTCAGGAATTCACTCAAGGTCAAGGGCAGTAAGTGATCTGACTTTCAAAGTTGCTTCCTGAGAAAGACTGGTGTGTATTGCGTCAGATGATCTATGAGAGTTTTGGGCACCATGGATACTTGATGGTGCTCTTGTCCCTGAGCTAGATACTCAGGAAAACGGACCCAGGTCTGTGGACAGTCAGGAAAGTTGCCCTCCTGCTTTGCCTGCTGGAGACTGGGAGGGTAGCGGCAAAGGCTGCTGACAGGAAGCAGATAATTCATTCAGGAGCTTACCTCTCTGACCAGCACTGACAGACCTGGCACCTAGCCCAACTGTCTGATCTTTCTCCCAGGGCACAGGCATCTGGAAATTTGTGGCCGCAGCCAGGTTCAGTGGTTGGCCCCTGGCGCCCCCTAGTGGCAAGAAAGTTTCTCCGTGGCCGCAAGGAAGCAGGTATCCACCGGGCTGGGCAGCAGTGATCCATCTAACCTTACCTCCTACTTCTGCTGGTCGCCTAAGTAGCATTTTTATGCTGTCCTCAAGAACTCGTCGTGAAGTTAGTGGGGGAAAATTGGAAAGAGGATTTGGATCTGGACACTGAAGTTTTGTTGCTAGCTCCCCAGTTACCTTTGAAAAGCACATTGGGCTCTTCATGTGTGATATGGGGATACCAACCCCTGTCCTTACCTCCTAGAATCTCTGTGGGAATCCTAGTGGATGCAATGGATGACAGATTCTTGTCAACTCAAAAACTCTACTATACAGTAAAGTATTGTGTTCCATCACTGAGCCAAATCCCCAGCCCTGGTGGGGAAGACAGGAGGGGAAGTGCTTTCATGCTGAGACAGCCTGGCAGGTGTTCCAAATGTATTTTGTGACCAGGTAATACCTTCAATATGATTCCTAAAATCAATATAGTACCAAAAGAGATATAATGAAAAGTCTTGTTCCAGTCCTGCCCCAACATACCATATTCCTGAGCCCCACACCAGCACCCTGCTGAAGGAAGCCCCTTTTTATTGATTGGTTTATTATGTATCCTTCTAGAATTTTCTTATCCAATGTTGTACTTCCCATCACTTTTTTAATATATTTTATTTATTTTTATGTGGTTCGGAGGATCGAACCCAGTGCCTCACATGTGCTAGGCCAAAACCCTAGCACCCCTTCCCCCCTTTCCTATATAAGTTAGTATAATACCCATACTGCCTTGGACCTTGAAATGAAGTGCATTTCATCTTCAAAATGCTACTAATTTAACAGCCACAATATCCATTGTTTTCTCCCAGTGCTGGGGATTGAACCCAGGACCTCCTACATGTTGTTGAGCATGCGTTCTACCACTGAACTACACCCCAGCCCTCACAAAATCCACTTCTATGTTCTATCTATTTTATTGGTAAAAGTGGAGCACAGGTCAAGGCTTCGAAAGTTTTTTGATTAGATACACGAAAAGGCCTGAAATGGTGAGGGAAAGTGCAGCCAGGCACTTGGGCTCAGGAGACTCTCCAGCAGCTCTCTGGAGAGCGTTGCCTAGTAACAAACACGTTGGGATGCAGGGAGGTGGGTGTGTATGTGTTCCCGAATAGTGTACAGAGTAGAGAGCCATGGAAAAAATTGTTCAATCTTTTAACTACCTTCTCATGTTTGCTTATTATAACCAACAAATGATCTAAAATAAAATAAGTCATGAGATCAGATGAAAAAAAAAAATCAGGTGAGAAGTCAACCTCAATTCCATGTCCCAAAGGAACTATCAGTAAAAGATGGATGCAGAAGTTTTTATCCCTGCATACAGGAGATTAAAATGGATACTCTCCTGTAATATATAATACACAATGGATAAGGAAATGTTTTTCTGGGGCTCTGAGAGGAAGTCCACCATGAAAGAGGGATGAGGGCTGCTCTGGGCCTGCCTGTCTAGGAGTCCAGAGAGGAAGAGGAATCAGAGAATTGGGAACAGAGAGGGTGGGCAGGGAGGGAACAGGTGGCCAGTCAGTGTTGGGCAAGTGCTACCTGTTATTAGGAACCGAAATCCTAGCATTTCTTTTTTAAAAAAATATTTATTTTTTAGGTGTAGATGGACACAACACAATGCTTTTATTTTTATGTGGTGCTGAGAATCGATCCCGGGTCCCGCCTGTGCTAGGGGAGCGCTCTACCACTGAGCCACAATCCCAGCCCAGAAATCCTAGCATTTCTACTCACTGCCTCTTGTTCTTTAATTTGTCAAGGAAAACACAACTAGTCAAGTACTGGCTAGAACATGGCCTGGTTTTACTCATGGATAAGACAGGATACAATCAGTTTTGGTGGTGGGCATTGGTCCCTCATGGCCAGAGACTTCTTCCCAGCAGCCATCCAGGGCCACTGGCCTGCACTCATCCCTCTATGCCACAGGAGGACCCTGCTCCCTCATCCCAGGGAACTGATACAGCAGTGGGGTTGGCCATGTGTCATACAATACATATACTTAACCAAAGAAATATACACAATAAGGCTTGAACACGAATTGTGTTCCCACACAAGGTAACAAGTCCAGCTACAACTGTGAACACTCTGTCTTGGTAAGGAAATGTTCCAGGCCCAGACCCATTCTCATGGGGCCAAGATGGGGTGAAAAGACAAAAACACTTCCTTACTCTCTTGGCCCTCTGCATGCTGCCTTCACTCATTCCCATGGGTGCCACATCTCCTGTGTGTCCACATCTGTTTTTGGTTCTTGTGCAACTTTTAGCAGGGACAGTCTTATCAACTGGGCCACACCCTGGCACCACAGGGCACTTGCCACAGAGGGGCATTCAGCACATACTTAGCAGAAAGACTGTGCTAGGTCCCAATGCCAGCTCTTGTAGGAGATATCCAGGGGGTTCCTGGTGGCTCCGGTTTCTAGTGGGACTGAGATAAGCTCTAGAACCTCTGTCCAGGCCTAACAAATTGTGGGCTCCCTTGACTACCTCAGAGAGTTGCCACCCTGACTAGGGTCAGCTATGTGAGGTGTGCAGCTGGGAGGGGAAGTCCTGGGTAGACCAAAAATGGTCCTCTCTCATCTCTCTCTGAAAAGGACCAGGGCACCAGACACCTTCAGTCAAATTTGGCCCTGACCATACCAGGTGGAAGCTTGGACGCTTCCACTCCCCACTATGTGCCAAGACATAAGCTTGCTGTTAGTAGGTCCTCAGTAAATCTATGTTGGTGGATTTAGGCCAAGGAAGTGGGTGATCTTGCAGGGACTGAAGGAAAGGAAGATGAAGGGGACAAATTTCTGTCATCCTGGATAGTTTACCAGCAGGCCAGATGCAGAGGACAGAATTTGGTATCAGATGTGGACCTCAGTTGAATCATAAAGTAATTGTCCTTTTTTTTAAATTAATTAATGTATTTTAATTAGGTCCTTTGTAATTGGCTTCTTTCACCCATCCTTTCTTGAGTTTCTATATGTAGCACATATCAAATGACATTTCATTGTACAGATTTTTTTTTTTTTTTTGATACTGGGGATTGAACCTAGAACCACATCCCCAGACCTTTTTATTGAGACGCTAAGTTGCTGAGACTCACCTCAAACTTGCCCCTCAGCCTCTTGAGTTGCTGGAATTATAGGTATGTGCCACCATGCCTGGATTTCTTTTTTCTACCTTTTAGCATTTTTTTTCCCTCACTGCTGGGATCAAACCTAGGGCCTCATGCTTGCTAAGAAAGTTTTCTACCATTGAATGATACCTCCAACCCCTTTTGGCTATTATTAATAAAGCTGCCATGAATATTCATGTGCAAGTTTCTTTAAAGACATGTTTTTATTTCTATTGGTTATATACCTCGGAGTGGAATTGATGGGTTCTATGGTAGCTCTGTTTAATCGCCAAGGAATTGTCAGACAGCTTTCCAAAGTGGCCGCATCATTTCACAACCCTAATAGCAATACACAAGAATTCTAATTACTCCACATCCTTTCCAACACGTTATTGTCATTTCCTATTTTCTTTTTGGCCACACTATGGACTAAACCCAGGGCCTCACACGTGCTAGGTAAGTGTTCTGCCACTGAGCTGCATTCCTAGTCGTTTTTATTTTGAGACAGGCTCTCAGAGTTGCCCAGGCTGGACTCAAATTTCCCATTCTCCTGTCTCCGCCTCCTGAGCAATTCTAAGCTGAAAAAGGAAGATTGTTCCTAGGAGCCCTTCAGGGCTCAGTATGTGAGCCACAGACAACAGGCTGTTAGCTACAGGCTCAGTATGGTTGTGTAGATGGTGTAACTAGCCCCAGCTTCTGGGAGACTGGAGAGTCAGTGGCTAAGAACAAAAGACCCATTGTTGACCTGCACAACTAGGAGTAAGGAGCTTCTCCCCTGTAGGCCTCAGCATCTCCTACCAAATGAAGAAAAGCAGTCCCTGTCTCAGATGACAGTGGCAGGGATCACAGGCTTAGCATGGCTCCTGACCCACAACTTCCACAGCTTTCTCCTTTGTGTCTAGGACTGTTGCCCACACATCACCTGGTCCACTGGTTCTTCTCTACCATTAACTTTGCCCATCCTAGAACACAACATCTTGTCCCTGACCCTGGGAACAGGGCTGGAGTAATCATACTCGGATCCTTATTACTTCTCATCTGCAACTCTTGCTCTTGGACAGTACAGGCAGGATCTAGTAATGGCCTCACATTCTCTAGAACAAAATAAGACTAAGCAAAAGAAAAACAGGATAATATAAAATAAGCATTATTAAAGCACTTAGAACTGAATAACACTTTCTAAATGGCACATCTAAGAAGCTATAGTTAAATATAAGTATCATCTAAAACTATACATTTCTTTTTTAAAATTCTTTTTGTGATGCTGGGGATGGAACCCAGGGCCTCACCATTACCGGTCAAATGCTCTACCACTGAACTACACCCTAGCCCCTAATACCACACACTTCTGATTAACTGTAATAATTTTAAATTCCTCATTTCCTTTCCATGTATCAATTCAGATGGGCCTTTCATGTTTTTTTTTTTTTTCTCGCTTCTTTGTCTTGATATCAAACTCCAGAAGGACACCAACTGAAGTCCTCCCCAGACCTTTCCCCTCAGCTAAGCACTGACTCAGGGATCAGCCATTCTATGAGCAGAGGTGTACAGGGATGTGTCTGGCTTCCAGCATTGGCCACCACCCCTCAGAGCATTTTCCCCCATGGCACAGGAGAGGCAACTAGTGCAGCTTAGTCTGAATAGATCTAAGGAGTTTATCAGAGGGACCTGAAACCACCTGAGCTGGCCCCTCCCTGCAGCTGGAGGAGGAAATAGGGGTCAAGATCCGTCGGGTAAGCTCTGGGATCACAGAGATGAAGGCAGATGATGCCTTAGTCCTTCTTGCCTCCCAGGGCCGGGCTTCTTGTCAGGAGCTTTCCTGGGCTGGAGGGGGTCTGTGTGGACACTGTGGAAGACTCCAGCTTCACTCTGTCTAGGAGGGTCTTCTTAACGGCAGCCGGAGAGATCTTTTCTTTGTCAGCCATGGACTGCAGCTCTCTGCAGACAAAATCCCAAAAGGGTTGAAAGAAGGCAATAAATCTTAGAGCAAGAGCTTTATGAAATCTTCCCTATCCATAGAGTCTCAGACCCAAAATTTGATAAACCAAATATTAGAACCCTAAACCAAATGCTCCCCTCAGCCTCTTAACTAAGTAGGGGTTTGTCTTATTTACCTCATTTGATCCAAGCTAAACATAGCACTCCAGTGGTATCTATGACCATATGGGGAGGGAGAAAGTGTGAAAAATTACAGGGCTTAAGAATCACAGATGGGGCTGTGGTTGTGGCTCAGTAGTAGAGCACCTGCCCAGCGTGTGTAAGGCACTGAGTTCGATTCTCAGCACCACATATAAATAAATGAATGAAATAAAGGTCCATCAACATCTTAAAAAAAAATTAAAATAAAAAAGAGTCAGAAATGACTGGAGACTATCATGCTAAAGGAAATAAGCCAATTCCAAAAAAACCAAAGGCTGAATATTCTCTCTGATATGGGGATGCTCACACACAATAAGGGGTAAGTGAGGGAAGAATAGAAGTTCATTGGATTAGACAAAGGGCAAAGAAGGGAAGGGAGATGGAAATAGGAAAGACAGTAGAATGAATCAAAAGTATTCATATATGAATACATAACGAGTAAAACCCCAAGTCATGCACAACCACATGCACAACCACAAGAATGGGAAGTTATACTCCGTGTATGTATAATATGTCAAAATACATTCTACTGTCATGTATAACTAAAAAGAACTAGACATTTTTTAAAAAGTCAGAGATGAAGCTGAATACTGCCCCCATCACTTATTAGCTGTTTGATCTTAAACTTTCCCATCTATAAATCAAAGTTAATCCCAGTTATCAAACTGTGGTAAGAATTAAGTGAAGTGAGGCCTGCAGACACTTGGCTAAGTCTAATAAGTCATGGTCTAATAAGTGCATTCTGGCACTGCTGATGAGACCTAAGACAGAAGGACTGCAAGATGCAGTCCAGCCCAGCCCAGCCCTGTCCAGGGTAGGCTGGGAGTGGAGCGCCTGGGGCAGAGGACAGCAAGACATACCCACCGTGTTCGGATACAGGAAGCCTCAACTGCATTGATAAGCAGAGAGCGGAAGCCCCCACTCTCTAGGAAGTGCAGGGCATGGATGGTAGCCCCGCCAGGGGAGCACACATTGTCCTTGAGCTGGCCTGGATGGTCCTCTGAATCCAGTAGCATCTTGGCAGCGCCCTACAGCATGAAGGAGCATGAGGGTAGAAAACTGCTGGTGTACGGTGGGACAGACCTCCCCACACCCACTATTCATGGCCAATCCCTATGCCAACTTCCAAACCAGGCCATCCCCAGCTCAGTGACCCATAAGAACCTCCGTTGCATACCCTGGTCCCAAATGTGCAGGGAAAAAGACACTGACCAGTAAGGCCTGGGCTCCTAATCGAACTGCGAGTCGCCGTGGCACACCCATCTTCACCCCACCATCCGCCAATGCATCCAGGGCCATGAACGCCTGTGGAGATACTCACTGAGCCCTGGGCAGCAGACACAAGGCCCTCCCCAGGGTCTATTTTTTGTGATGATTGGAACTAGCTCCAGTGGTCAGCTTTCTTCATCAGTCAGCCATGCCCAAGATGTAGGCACTGTCCCCCAGCCTGAGACTGCCTGCCAGCCCATTTAGCTGCCTAGGTTCCCTGAAGGTCGACTGAACAGATAGGGCCTCACATAGGCAGGTCCACTGCCGCTAAGGCCCGTGATGGCATCRATCAGGTCCTCTTCCACCTCAGTGCAGAAGCCCACACTGCTCATGAGCTGCTCCAGGAGCTGCCCATCCTCCACCAGGGCGTGGGTGCCAGTGGCATATACTGTGGCACCCTCCCGCACCACCACAGGTGTGTTGGTCATGCAGCGAATCACTTTGGGGGCCTCCTGGAACGCCATCAGCTTCTGCAACAAGACAGAGGGCCATAATTCCCACCAGCACCCACCCTTCGGTTGCCATTCCCAGGCCACCCTTTCCTCACACAAAGGGCATCAGGAGTGAGATGGGTACCTTTTCCACAGAGCTGATGGTGACACCGGCTGCACAGGAGACCACAATATGCCTGGCTTGTACACTGGCCCCAATCTCATCCAGGACAAAGGGGATGATGTGTGGCTTCACAGCCAGGAACAGGACATCACTGTGCCTAACGGTCTCCTTGTTGCTGCGGGTTATGTTCACGCCCATTTTCTGTAAGAGGAGACAGCAAAGCTAACAGTGCTGGGGAGCCTGGCTAAATCCAAGCCCCCCAAGGAGAAGCTGAAACCCTGCTAAGCCCACTCTGCCAGCTGCAGCCCTGAATTCCTTGCCCTCTCCTCTCAGAATTCTACCCCAATTGACATAAAATTTTCCATTCTGCCACTAGACAAGTAAGCACAGGGGTTGGACATGCAAAGTTTCACCAAGGTAGCCAGGAAATGGCTATCCCTTCAACCTCACCAATCTTCTGACATCCAAGGCACCCCTTTGCCAGGTGAGAATGCTCCATGGTGAAAAGTGTCACAGGCAAACGGGAAAAGTGAAATCTAGTCCCAGGGGTTGGGAGCAGAGCTGGGTCAGGTCCTATTCCAACCCCAGCCACTTTGCACAGATTCACCAGATTGCACAGCCTCTACCTGGTGGTTCAGCTGTGGCTAGAAGACATTCATCACACAGACACTGCCTAGACACTGTAGGCCACCTGTCTCCTCAGACATCCATTACCATGCTGCCCAGGTCTTGGAAGAAGACAGGCTACTAAGCTTTGTGAGAGAGAAACTACTAATTCCCCAGGTTCTTTGCTAACATGTTCATTCATGTCTTAGGAAAGCAGCAAAGTGACTACTATAAATGAGGAAGGAGAGATTCACAGTCATTGCTTACTTTAAGATCACAGGACTAATTGATAAAGAAAAATAAGTCTTTATTGGGCACCTACTATATGTATATATATGCACCCATGTATAATTACCTCAGTTAATCCTCTAACACYTGCCTCTAGCACACAGGGTCTGGATTTGACCCCAAGTCTCCCAGCCTAGGGGCTCCCACTGAAACTGGGACAAAAGGACAGTCAGTGTAGATAATGAATGAATGAATTGGAAGATGGAGCTGATTCAAAAGGAAATAAAATGCTAATACCCCCTTCTCCAACCAGCTGCCAAAGTCACCTGCCTACAGGGGATTGTTCTTCCCAGCAAGGAGTAGTTAATGGATATCTCTTGGGCAGCTTCTTTCCAGATCCTTGGTCACTGCACTTTTTGGTCTCACGGGCAAGATAAGAGGAGGAGGGGGCATGAGCAGAAAGGAAACCTAAAATGTATAAAATTGGCAGGACACCCCCATTCCTAGGGGGCACCAGCTTTAGAACCCCTCCTCTCTGGAGGAGTCTCTCTCTCTCTCTTCTACCCCTCAAATAAAACTTTTCTCCTGCCTCGGTGCTTCTCGGTTGTTTAATCTTCAACCCTGGGGAAACGGGACCGATCCTGATTTTCAAGACTAGTTTCACCAGTACCGTAAGCTGCTCCACAGAAGATGGAAGGATTGAGATGTTCCTGGGAACCCAAAGACCAGCGCAGAGGCTCAGGGGCAGCCTGACTCAGTTCATCTCAGGTTATTCTTTTCCTGAGTCTCCACCCTCCTCCCCACAGCCCTCCATCCCACTTACCCTGAGCACAGACACCGTAGGCAAGTCCATTTCTGGGGAGCTGGCTATTATCTTGTGAGCCGACAGGATGCCTGCGGAAGACAAGACTTTTCAACGGACTCATTGTCCACCCGGTGGCCATGCTTCTCCTGGGATCAGATGACAACGCACAGCTGCTCTCTCAGTGCCAGTCTCCGACACAACTTAATCCCTTACGCGGATGGATATAAGATGACTCGCCGCTTAAAAACAGTCTCTTCCACCCACCATACGCAAATTCCCGCATTCATTCATTCATGCTGGTGGGGTAAAGGGCGGTTCCCAGCCCAGTCCTCCCGGGAATGAATCCGCCTCCCGCCTCCCGCCTCCACGCGCTCACCTGCGGCGGTAAAGCCCCGCGCCAGGGCACAGGTCAGCTGGCCAGCGCCGATAAAACCCACGCTCATGGTGGCTGGCTCCCGAGTCCCAGCGGCCGCCGCACAAACCCAGTAAGACCCAGGTGACGCTGCTGACGGAAGGACAGGAGTAAGAAGCCGGATCCTGAGAGTTCCCGACAGTTTCTGGAAGCGGATAGCCGCCGGGGCTGGCTTCTAGGCGGGACCCCGCGGGCCCCCTCACTCACACCGGAGGCGCTGGCAGAGGCCTTGCTGTAGGCCACGTGGCCCGGGAGGCCAATCCGCGGCGGGGAGCTCCGGGAGATCAATCCGCGGCCAGGATCGCAGGGAGAGCCAGTCCGCGGTCGTTCTGGGCCGTGTGCCCGCCCCCACCGGCGCTTTCCAACCTCTGGTGCAGCTCCGGGGCTGGTCCTGTGCGCATCCGGCGCGGCGACGTGAACTCGGAGTCTCCCGTTCCCGCGTGATGTGGGACTCAGAACCCAGACCTCGCGGAGGCCTGGCCATTGTTGTTTCTGGCGCTGGCCGTCAGCCATCTCTCATGACCAAGAGGGATCCTCCAGATTGCCGATTTTATATGAATGAGGCCCTCCTGTCGGGGCTTAGACCGGATGGTGCAAACCTGGGGGGCCCAGACCGAGCGCATCAGTGCCACCCGGGATTAGTAGGATCCGCTCTTCGAAACCCCTATTTTCTGCTGGCTCCCTCCCAGCCCAAGTTGTGTGGCAGCGGGGCAGCTGCGGTTTATTCGCTTGTACTTGCGTGGTTCGCGTGAATTTCTTTTCTTGACTAGATCGCAAGCGGGACCAGTTCCTTTGTTGAGGAAATGATTGGCTCCCAGACTCCCCTTCTGCAATTGGGTGCCCCTCTCTCGTGGTCGCCCCTTGCGGGTTGTTTTTTGTTTGTTTGTTTTGTTTTGTTTTTTAACCCCTTTCCCCTGTGGCACCAGGGATTGAACCTAGGAGCGATTAACCACTGAGCCACACCCCCAAGAATCCTGTTTAAAGTCAGGAGCAAATACAAATTTTTTTTTTTAAATTAGAAAAGCAATGCGTGCGTATTAATCAAAATTTCAAAAAATAAACCAGCCGAGGGAGCCCACACCTGTAATCCTAGCGACTGGGTAGGCTGAGGCAGAAAGATCCCAAGTTTGAGACCAGCTATAGCAATTTAGTGACATTCTTAGGCAGCTTAGTAAGGATAAAAAAAAAAAAAAAGAAAGAAAGAAGGAAAGAAAAAGGTCTATGGATGTAGTTCAGTGGTAAAGAACCCCTGGGTTGAGTTGAGTCTCCAGCATCTCCCGCCAAAAAGAATGCTGCAAATGATGGAGGTTTTTTTTTTTTTAATATCATAAAAGAGTAATATTTATACAAGTGAGAAGAGAGAGAATACCTGCAGGGCAAGAGGGGACTGAGAGGAGTTGCTGGACATCACTCCTTTTTATGACTGAACAATATTCTATTATGTATATGTACCACATTTTATCCATTCAGGAAGAGGGGTGAAATGGGAGGACTATAAACATCTAAGAAGGAAGACCCCGTGTTGGTGATCTCCAATGCTGCCTTGTTCCCAGCCAGGTCAGACAACACAAGAGAGGGAGCAATGAAAGCACTTGTTCCCCAAGTTTGAAAGTGGAAACTGCTGACCAGAAACTGATTATTGTGCTGGGGATGTAGCTCAGTGGTAGAGCCCATGCTTAGCATGCAAGAGGCCCTGGGTTCAATTCCCCAGCACCTAAAAGAAAAGAAACTGGTTATTTTAAGTACTTGGAGTTCTATTATTTTTTCACATAAGTTTTTTTTGTTTTGTTTTGTTTTTGCAGTACTAAGGATTGAACCCAGGGGTGCTCTATTACTGAGCTATATCCCCAGTCCTTTATTTTTTAAAATTTTGATAACAGGGTCTTTCTAAGGCCCAGGTTGGCCTTGAACTTAAGATCCTCCTGCCTCAGCTTCCCAAATCGCTGGGATTATAGGAATGTGCCACCATACCCAGCTTCATCTCCAAATTTCACATGTACACAGCCTTTCTTTTTTCTTTCTTTCTTTCTTTCTTTCTTTCTTTCTTTCTTTCTTTCTTTCTTTCTTTCTTTCTTTCTTTCTTTTTCTTTCTCTTTTCTTTTCTCCTTCCTTCCTTCCTTCCTTCCTTCCTTCCTTCCTTTCTTCTCCCTATCCCTTTCTCTCTTTTTCTTTCTTCCTCCTTCTCCCTCATTTTCTTTGTTTCTCCTTCTCTCTCTTTCTGATGCTGGGAACCAAACCCAGAAGCTCCCACATGTTAGGTAGGCAGACACTCTATCACTGAGCTACACCCCCAGCCTATATATTCACAACTTTGTTGTTTATTTTCATGAAAGGTAGTCCCATTCCATGAGACTTAAGGAAGAGGCTTGCTGGCACTAAAGGCCTATTTCCTTGGTGTTATAGCCTCTTCTATGGCTCCCAGAGAGATTATGTCTGATGTCTGTTAAAGTTCTTTTGGGAATGAAATGATAGAGAGATGAGATGAGAGGAGAGGCTTGTGGTCCCAACCAGTCACTTGGGACCCATTCTCAAGAAGGGCCCTAACCTGAAACTGCCATGGACATATTCTCTCCCTTTCTAAAACCTATCTTCTTGGGTGCCTGCTCTACTGAACAAGACAGATGTATCTGCCAGGCAGCCAGGATATTTCTATTCTCCCAACTAGTAATCAAGCAGGTTCAACCATCCTGCTCTTCCTTTCCTCCCTCCCCTCAGTCCTGGGTTCTCTCCCTCCAGCTGTCACAGACAAAGTGGGTAGTGTTCCATTTCTGTCTTTATTTGTCCTGGTTATTCACTCTCAGGGCCTCCCTTTTGGCTTATCTCTAAAAACAGCCAGCCCATCTCTTCTAAGAACTGAGATGATCCAGGCAATGGGGGTGAACCTGAGCTGTCCCCAGCTACACAGATGGCAAATCCCTTGGCACCCAGGTCCTTCCTGACCTAAGAACCTCTCTAGGAGGTTTTGCATACATTTTTGCACTTTTTTTTTTTTCAGTACTGGGGATTGAACCCAGAAGTGCTTTACCACTGAGCTACATCTCTAGCTCTTTATATTTTTTATTTTTTGAGACAGAGCCTCATTAAGTTGCTGAGACTGGCCTTGAACTTGGGATCCTCCTGCATTAGTCTTCCGTCTCTGGGATTACTGGCATGCACCTGGCTTTCATTTATTTTTGATTACACAAACAATTCATGTTTAAATATGGGAAAATTAGAAATTAGAACAAAGGAGAAAATGAACATTTGTCTTATTGTTTTTGTATTTTGGGTTTTTTTGGTTTGTTTTGTTTTTGTAATGCTGGGAATGGAACCCTGAGGCTCACACATTCTAGACAATTGCTCTGCCACTGAGCTACTTCCCCAGCCCACAAACATCATCTTTAATCCCACCAATAAAGGAGAACCATTAATGATGCTTTGGGAGAATAACTCTCTAACTGCTTTTTCCTATGCAGTCTGGCACATCTTTAACTTGGTTTTACTTTTTGTTAGAACAACTCAACAAAATAAAATTCCATTTTACTGTTGGACATCATTGTTTCACACATGTATCAAACATATAAATAAGTAAACAGAAACATCATAGACAAAAAATAAAGGAATAAAATAAACCTTTTGATATTTTTTAACCATCTCATATAAATCATCTACTAATAGCAATCACACATAAAAAGTTACTGGAATGCTTGGAATATTTTTTATTGTTTTTTTTTCTTTTTCTTTCCCTCTCCTTTGAGATTATAATGAACATAGTCACACAACAAGTAAAGTCATAAGTAAGACAGAGAATGCCCCAATGACTGGTTGGGTCATTCAAGATCATTAAAAGTAGGTGACTCCTACAATATGTACAAAAATTTAAAGCATAAGTTTAAAAAATACAAAGAAGAAACAAAAAAAAAGAGGAAAAAAAATGCAAAGCAAGCCAGATATGGTGATGCATGCCTGTAATTATGGTGATTTGGGAGGCTGAGGCAGGAGGATCACAAAGCCAACGCTGGCGATTTAGAAGCACCCTCAAAAACTTAGCAAAACTGTCTCAAAATTAAAAATAAAAAGAATTTGGGATATAGCTCAGTGATAAAGCACTCCTATGTTGAATGCCTAGTACAAATTTTTTTTTTTAAAGGTTTGGATGTAGCTCAGAGGCAGAATGCTTCTGGGTTCAAACCTCACTACTGAAAAAAAAATACAAAGAAAATTTCCTTTCTAAGGTATTTTGAAGAAAAAAAAAGCAGGTACGTGGAACTTCTGTTTTTTTTTTTTTGTTTTGTTTTTTTTTTTTTTGTAATCCTTCCCTGTTGCAAATTCATGTTGTGGTTTTGGTTGGGTAATAGACAGCAGGTGCCATCTGTGGATGATTCTGCCCTCTGGGCAAGAGGGCCTCTCTACTTGAAGGTGACTGTGTTTAGAGTCTGAGATGGGAGATGGAAGGTGAATAGGTCACAGGTGGCCATTTTTAAGTGTTGCTGTCTAGTCATCCTCATTCATCTGCTTCCTGGATCCACATTGCCATCGTCATCATCCTGTACTGTTTGTTCTTAGCAGCCTCAGCCTTCTCATCTTCATCTCCATCATCTTCTCCACCACTGCCCTCTTCTTTCTCCTCCTCCTCCCCACTTTCCTCCTCTTAATATTCTACCTGATTGTCACCTCCTGCTCCCCATTTTCCTCATTAGCGTTCAAATTAGCTGGGGCATCTCTTCCAATCTCCACCTCCTCCACAGGCTTCCTTCTTCTTTAAGTTCTTAGAGGCAATTTTCTTTATCTTTTTTTTTTTTTTTTCCTTTTTGGTACTGAGGATTAATCCCAGAGGCACTTTACCATTGAGCTACAATCCCTGTCCTTTTCTCTTTTCATTTTGAGACAGGTTCTCACTGAGTTACCAGGATGGCCTGAACTTTTGATCCTCCTGCCTGAGCCTCCCCTTTAGCTAGGATTATAGGCCTGCACCTTGTTCCTGACTATGTCCCACTTCTAATGGGATCCGTCTCACTTTTGTGTTCTTTTCCTATTGTGGCTGTAATAATACACCACATATTTAGCCTCTAAAACAAAACAATTTACTCTCACAGTTTGTAGGTTAGAAGTCTTGGTAGGTTCAGCTGGTGTCTCTGTTGCAGGTTCCACAAAGTCAAATAAAAATGTCAGCTGACTTGGACTCTTACCTGGAGGCTCTGGGAAAATTTTTGCCTCCAGACTCATTCAGGTGCTGGCAAAATTTAGCTCCATGCGGTTGT